GTCGTGGTGGCTCTGGTGGCGGCCTTCGTGGTGCTGCAGCTGCCCTACAGCCTCGCCCTGCTGCTGGATACGGCCGATCTACTGGCTGCGCGCGAGCGGAGCTGCCCTGCCAGCAAACGCAAGGATGTCGCACTGCTGGTGACCAGCGGCTTGGCCCTCGCCCGCTGCGGCCTCAATCCAGTGCTCTACGCCTTCCTGGGTCTGCGCTTCCGCCAGGACCTGCGGAGGCTGCTACGGGGTGGGGGATGCCCCTCAGGGCCTCATCGCCGCCGTGGCTGCCCCCGCCGGCCCCGCCTTTCTTCCTGCTCAGCTCCCACGGAGACCCACAGTCTCTCCTGGGACAACTAGGGCTGCGAATCTAGAGGAGGGGGCAGGCTGAGGGTCGTGGGAAAGGGGAGTAGGTGGGGGGACACTGAGAAAGAGACAGGGACCTAAAGGGACTACCTCTGTGCCTTGCCACATTAAATCGATAACATGGAAATTAGATGCAACCCAACAACTGTTACTATTTTTGAGTCACCGACTTGGAAGTGATTTGTGGCAGGGCAGAGCCGGTGGGTTAACATCCCGCCCCTGCCCGCCCCTCAACCCCAGCGCTTGGCTCTCTGAGTGGAAGACGCTGAGGGCCTGGGTAGGGGTGGGGGGCTGCTGAGTCTGCTAAAGCTCTAGCCACTGACACTCCCTCCACCGTCACCCGGCCTCAGCCAACAGAGGTGAGGTGGGAAAGCTGCCAGGCAAGGAGGGGCGCGGGTTCCTCTTGCAATACTGTAAAGCAGAGCTTTCTAACAACCAGAGCGCTCTCCAGTAATGGCTGCCTTAGCAAATACGGAGTTCCCGCTATTGGAATGTTCAGACTGTCGTGGACGCTGTGGGCCTTTGCGTGGTGTGGGGGGAGGGGGGAGAGGGGCAAGAGATTCCCGTTTTGGGTGGGCATTTGGATTACATTACCACTTTACAATCCCTTCCTAGTGTCTGATGGAAGGAAAATGAAAAAATTAATTTTAAAAGTTGAGTTGAAGTTTTTCACCTTGAAGAAAAACCTAGGCGGGATTGCAATCTGCAAATTTCCGGAGTAGTTATCATGGGTGTGGTGGGGGTGAGGGATACTTGCTGTTCTCCATCTTCTCTGGGGACTGGGTCAGAGGAAATGCACTGAGCTGGCCGGAAAGAGAGAGGTTGGATATGGGAAAAAACTTCTCTGCAGGCAAGGGCCTGGGATCCAGACCGGGAAGATGGTTGTGGTATCTCTATTCCTAGGAAATCTCTCAGTACAGGCCACTCTCATCTGGAGAGAGGCCACAGCCGAGATGGCCTCTAAACCCGCTCGCATTGATTCCTGGTCTTTGTTTTACACAATCAAAACGGGCAGGATGGTGTTCACGTGCGACAGTTCTCGCGGTTTAATACCGGTCAGCAAAGCTGTCCCCACCACTCCAGCCTGGAGTCTAGGGTCGAGAAGGGCGGGGCGTGGCGAGGAGGTCTCAAGGGAGGCGCTGGCCCGACGGCCCCGCC